CCTCACTGCCTGGAAAAGGAGACGTTGCCCTGTTTGGGGCTGCAATAGTAACTGTAATTCCAGACATCTTTTGCATCATTAAAAAACTCAAACAACAAAAAGCAATGAAGAAAGACACAGACTAGCCACCACATTTCTTAACCATATAATGTGTGTGATTAAACTGGTATAGTTCAACCAGTGAGAGTTCACACAGAAATAGTAGCATTGGCTAAGCTAAACTGCCCCCAAAGGACAAGAGCTTCGTCTCCAAATTCTAAGTGACAGTCTCTGCCACAACAGTTTCTTCATGCTTTGGCATACACAAACCTCAAAATACTCAATTTTTAAAACATAATTTTGAAGAGAATTTTCCTTCCTCCTTTGTCATCCTGCCGTAGATGACCAACTGAAAATGAACTAAGCATTCATGGACAGAAATAAATCACACTGCCAGCTCTGAAAATTATTTCTAGCAGTTTTGTAACACTTTCCCATTGTGAGTAGGTCTCAAGACATCCCACCACTACCGTCAGTCCTGTCATATCTCACACTGAACAGTCACTTCTAGGGAGTAATTAAACAGGAGACTCTTGGGGGGAACAGTACTTTCCAACAGATAAAACTTGATGCATTAAAGTTGCTGTGTGATGTTTTAAAGTTGCAGGTTTCTGTCCTGAGGATAGAAAATAAGAATAATAAGAAAAGTCCTTTTCTACAGTCTTGTAAGACTTCAGCCATTTGGTACACTGCAGCCAGAAGTTCTTGTGCAAACGTCCTTTAGGAATAGTTGTCTTCTTGTGAGGAAATACTCCAACACCTTGAATGACCAAACGGGAGAGCATCTCTCCATGGACAGGATCTGCTCAGTGCAGTGTCCCGTGGGAAAATCCATTCGGGCTCCCCCCGACGTTGCATGATTGCAGCATGCCCAGCATTTGAAAGGATGTAAGGTTTACTCGCTATCTATATTCCTTTTTCTATTCTGTCTTATTAAAGCAGTTATCTTATTAAACCATGTGCTGTCGAGCCTTTCTTATTGAGATCAAAGAAGAGCCCCGCACCAGCTCTCTCTCACCTCCCCTCCCCACGCTGGTCCCTAACACACTCACTAGGTGCTGATCAGTTTTTAATTTAGGTTTTGTAAAATGTCAGCAAAAGACCTTTCCAAAATATCGGTGAACAAGTGTTACCCCCCACCTCCATTATAATAAAAAGGAAGTTACCCTTTTTCCTGACTAGGCCTGCAGAAAGTCAGCATATCAGTAAGGTCACTGCAAGCAGAGCACACCTGAATCCTTCTGTACCTCTCCTATGGTCTAATTTGTCAATTTGATTATGGGGAATCAAACTTCGGTGCCTTGCTTTATGTTAGACCACTTGGCAAGACAGAGAAAGCCTACAAGGTGTTCAGAGAGGTCACGGGCCACAGAACTCTTGCTGCCACGACATTAGAGATGTTTCAGTGACAACGCTGCAATTTGGCAGCCAGTCACCTCTAAAGGGGATCTGAGGAGGAAAAACTATGGCTCATTAATATTTAAAGTTTTAAAAGACCAAACAGTTAAGAAATGCTGCCAGGTCAGGAGTGGTGACAGATAAAGAGGAGGAGGAAGGAGTGGTGATGCCTGGAAGGGAGCTGAGGGAACTGGAATCTCTATGCATTTCCCTGAATCTGAGGAATGGTTTGCACCAGCCTTGGCCTGGGTGGCTGCGAAGAGCCGTGCCCCTCTGCGGTGGTGCTGGTTACAGATGAATAATTAATGCCGAGAGTTACAGGAAGAATTCAACCTGCTATGTCTGAAAAAATACAATGCCTTCTCCTCATTCTCTTCTTTCCTTTGAGTACAGGTTTAATTTTTTCAAGAAGTACAATTAGCCTAAAAATAATATTGGTTTTAAAAATGGGTTCTTCAAGAAAAAGTGTCAGCTTATCACATGGGCCAGTTGCTTTTTTAGTCCTCCTTTTTTAGACCTGGATATTAGGAAGTCATAAATTTACTACCTACAGAAAATAAATTAAACCTTTGCTTAGCCTAGGGTTGAATTTCTTTTCCTTTTTTTTTTTAATCATTACTGGGTTTTGATTTTATTATTTTTCACAAATGAAAGTTACAGCTAGAGTCAAGGCTGATGAATAAACCTCTTCTCCTAAGAAATTTTTCTCCCTTTAAAAGGCAGTCGGGTCCCATTGTTCTTACGGGACGTAAGCTGCAGGATGCCTCCCAGCATAGGTACCCACCTGAATGACACCGCATCAAATGCCAGCTCCGAAACACTGGAATCCTAAACCAGTGTAAGATCACACACACTCTGTTGCCATTCTGGTTCCCCTTGATTTATTATTTATTGGAAAGAGAACACAACGTTATTTTTAAAACACTGAAGGATAGCCCACTCCAGGGTTGGTTGATAACACTGCCGCCTCTTACAGTTTTACTGGGAGTCTCATAATATTTGATACATTTGTCCTGGCTATAAATTGCAAAAAGAACGAACTTCAGTATTCTCTTTTATCTAAAAAGTGAGGGGTGGGAGGGGAGAAAGGATTGCCATGATAGTTATAAAAACTGTAAACTAAAGGCTCAAAAGCCAATCAAGCAAACTGAACTTGCCATTTATTACTTTTTAGAAGTTCAGATGATTTTTTAAAATTAAATTTCCATACTTTTTTTTCCCCCGAGTGGGACTAGTTCATTATTTTCATTCATAAACTTTATGATCACTGGTGATCCTGTTATTATCTGATTTTCAAAATACCTTAAGATCTTCCAGGGTCTAACGTACCGCATTGGAGCAGGGCAGAGTTCTCCAAATACTGACACAAGAGTAAGCAATCCATAATAAGTACTGCGTTCAACTTCTAAAGCTTCATCTGGTGTGCATGACGATGCTTGGCCACCCTGCTCTGGACCACCTCCCCTCCCACCTCGGGTCTGGGGGCAGGAGGGGGCAAGGCGGGGAGGCAGAGAGCGGGTGTCACCGGCGTTCCCCACCTCTGCTCGTGCCGGCTGCGGGGCTCTGGGTGCCTGGCACGTTGGTGGCCCTCCGTTCTTCCCCACATCACTCTGCGCTGCCGGCTGACGTACCAAAACCATGGGGGGAGCAAACGTCACGCCACACTCACCACTTGCTCCCTGAGCACACCCCAGTAGAGTTCGGTCACGTACCGACCCAACCAGTGCCATTAAAAAGGGAGCATACGGCTAGGTTTATAGGAGCCTGCCGATGAGTGAAATTTTTGAAGCAGCATTCCACAAATGCTTCGATACACCTGAAAGCTTGGTCAGAAGTGGCAAACAAAAGGGTGATCAGCCCTTACCTGGAACTGACACGCACATTTCAAGCCATCGCCCTCTTCCTTGCACACGCCTCCGTATTTACATGACGATTCATCACACACTCTTACGTCGGACTCCCTTACATTTAACTCTGCGAAAAAAATAGAAAAAGGAGACAGAAAAGAAACTATAAGATGAGTCATTCTGGAGACTGCCTTGACCTTAGAGCCACTGTGCCCCCCTGCTGCCTTACCCCATACAGAAGTCAAAGGAAAAAAGCCTGAGCTGTTCCCTGGACTGCCCTGCCTCCGCTCCATCCTGCTCCCCAGGGTCAGGTCCTGCTCCCCAGAGTCAGGTCCCGCTCCCCAGGGACAGGTCCCGTTCCCCAGGGACAGGT